ATAAAATTGTTCATTAACCCCAAAAAAACTGAAGTTAAATAAAAAAAATCTAAATTAAAATTTTCTAGCACTAAATAGCAAATAAATACCCTAATGTTTTACCATCTTTACACTTAAATATCCTAAGTAGTAAAAAGTAGCAATTTAATACTATAAGTTGTAAAAAAGTAGCACTTTAATACATTAAGCTGTAAAAAATGGCACATTATACCTTCTGTTAGTAGCACGAACAAACATTTCTAGGAACATTCCCATGTGATTAGCACATGATATTTTTATAATTGTACTGATCACATTGTCATATTTACTTCTATATAACCTATTCTCCATTTTTAATTAAAATTTTCATTCATTTCTCCATTTTTAATTAAATCTTACATTCATTTTTATAGAGGGATCTTTTCCTCATAAGAGATTTTTTTTTAATGGTGTTTATAATATTCTAACGGCTGATATTTAAATATAAAAATGATGAAACAACAAGATGTTTATGTGCATACTTTTCATAACTTTTCAGTTATAATGAACATATTAAAGAACTCTTTTATATCACATGAACCATGTTTTTCTCAATGCTATCCAGTTTTCTCATATCCGTTTTGTATTCACATGCATATATCCGTAATCGTATCCGATTCTAGCGGATATGGATATGATTTTTTCTTACCAAGGTATATCCGTATCCGTATCCAAGATGGATAAAAGGATATAGATATAGTAAGTATCATATCCGAACCATATCTAGACGGAATGCACCCCTAGTGTTGAGTCCTCCTCCGGAAAGGTGTTCGAAAGTTAATTGCGACGCTGGTTTCAAGTCTAGCACGGCAGGAAGAGCTTCAGTGCAGCGGCGATCATGCAAAATAATTACAGTAAACCAACTACTAAAAACCTTTACAATTTCCATTACTACAACCACCACCGAAGAAGATACGAAGCAAAATAATTACAGTAAGTCAACAATACATCATAAACCCTAAAGATCTAATTACGACAGCTGCCATCATCGTCTATGATCTCAAACCGTTCCTTTTTGGGAAAAAAAATATCGGAATCAAAAGAGATCCAGAGAAGAATCGAGGACTTGATCATCAAGCGGCGAGCTCGTCCAGCCTGAGCAAGCAGCGGAGCCGTCTCGTCGCCATCTCGCTCTTGACGAAAACCGCGGGAAACGGTAACGAGCTCGGCTCCGGGGACACCGAGTACGCGGGACCGGCGTAGATCGAGCTCAGGCC